ATTGCTTGCAGCTACATGTACTAGAAAAGCTGCAAAGCGAGGTAACAGCTGCCTGCTGGAGCGCAAGGGCAGAGATACCCCTGGCACCCACAGGAAGGGCAGGAGCAGCCCTGCGGCGGGGCACTGGCCCTCAGGACTCTACTCCTAAGACCAGTACATTAAAAAAGCCCTCAATGCCAATAAACATCTCCATTACAGTCAACATTGAGAACAGATTCATTTCTTTGCAGCACTATGTAACCGTTCTGTACTTCTTTCAGTACTGCATCATTAATCGAGAGCCTCAGAGTATTTCTGGCTTTAGGAAACGGACCCCATGCAGTTTATTTGCTCTATGAATATAATCCAGCAGTTTCTACAATTACTTTCATTGCTCTGAAAGCATAAATATAATCCTCATACATGATGCCAGACACGTATCAAGTCTAATGTTAAAATCTCAATGGATGGAACTCTCATCTGGAGCTGCCTTTTCCTCCCATAGACAAAGAAATCCCTGCCATGTGTTCATTCTGCATTTACATTTTTAGGTAATATTTAATCAGATGCTTCCCCTGTAAAATGAAGACATCCACTGAAAGTAGGTCACGCTTATTATAAAAAAAAAAAAAATCACCATGCTGGATTGTTTTACTGAGAATCTCAAGAACAGGTTAGAGATTGTGTTCAGTAAAACAACACCTTTTTTAAAATACCTTAAGTGGAAATACTATCTTTTATAGTGAGCACTCCTGTAGGTAGCTTGGGACACAGCCACACAGGAAGCAATATTACTGATGTGCCCTTAATCCTGCACCAAAGCAAAGCCTCAGCATAACAGTTCTTTTATCGGCTGGTGACTCCATGAGAAATAAACTGTCTGCTGAACCAGCAGGAATGGTTCTCCTACAGAAAAGTGTTTTGTATTCTTTTTGCCAGGATTAATTTTAAAAAGAGCATACTGCTCTCTCATGGGAATAAGCATTGCTTCCAAAGTCTGAGTCTTCTATTGAATCATGTAATAAAGAAGGAGCTACTATAAATTAAATCTATTAAATTTTTGCTCTCATTATTTTTAGTTCTGAAATGCTAAAATTAAAATTCTTATTCCTGGAAGTAATTATTAGTTTAATATTCTCAGAGGGAAGTAATTTGTATAATCCTAGATCCAAACATCTATTTCTCATTTCATCAACAGAATACAAATGACGCCTTAAACAAAATGCTACTGCAAAATTGTAATTGTGTTAATTACAGCCAACCCATTTCCAAAGCTACTGTTTATAAATTCAGACATTACTCTCCATTTGTTCAGTCTTAATAGTAGTAATGTGATAAACAGCATAGTAAATAAAGCAAGTATTTAATCTTTGGTTTTACTGGTGACAAAAAAAGTATCATCTCAGATATCAAGATGATTAAACTAAAGAGATTTTTGCAGTGAACTCTGAAATAGTTTGTCTCTTAACATGAGATTTAAAAAAACCTCACTGAAAAAGACACAAGGGGACAGATTAACCTAAACAAGCATAGAAATAAATTTAATAATAAAAAAGGAGAGTCTATACCGCTAATGGCAGCTTTGTTATGTAACAAAAAGCAAATTAAGTACCGGCTCAGATGAACACAATTCTAGTGAAGTTCCAGAGATATATGCGTGTGAGTAATTTAATCTTCCTTTATCTTCTCACGCGGCATGATTAATCACCCACCTGTAGACTCTGGAAGATGACTGTTATAAAGATAACACCAGGAACAATACAGAATTACCAGAGTTATGCCACTACACACTTATGCTCCTAAACATAACATTGCATTCCCCTGCTCCCTCTCCCAAATGCCATTTGTGACACAACAGAGCAATATCCTTTGTTGTGAATGGTTCCTGTTAGTGCTACTCTCTGTTTAGCTGCCAAAAAGGCTAAAGGCCAGTACCCAGGTAAACACGGATGCAAATATAAGGCCTATGTAGGTGTGTAACTTCCACTAACGATGTTAAGCAATACCATTTGGTAATCGGGGAGCTGGTGTTGCCGGAGATGGATGTGAAGGGGCTGGGAAGGGGCCGGGGTCAGGCGATGGGGAAGGGCTGCTGCAGGAGCACTGGGAAACGGAGACTGCCTCGTGTGGTCCCACCACCTGGTAAAAGTCTGTTGAGACTCCACCACCACCCAAATTTACAAATAAAAATGGTGTGTCTTTGTCACATATATAGCTGATTCCCATTCTCAAGAGCTGTGTGCAGGATGCAGTTTCAATCTAGTCTCACTATACATTACTACACGGATTTTAAAGCCCCTTTAAAAAAAAAAAAAAATTAAAAAAAGAAACCACCTGCCTGTATATATGAATCTGCTGACAAATGGGACTGCATTGCTTAAAATCCACCTACCCTCCTTGTGACCAGGGCAAGGGCCTTCAAAATATTCTGATGAATTGCACGTGGGGAATAATATAGGTTTGCTAGGGGCTGCAGAGAGGAGAGTTAAACATCCAAGACTTTTCTAAAGCCATACTTTTCATTTTAGGCTATTACCACCAGTATCCCTTTTCAAGTTTGGACCTGAGTCCACATGCATGTCCACATTCACCTTTCACTTTGCCAATCCATATTTAGAAATATAAAAATAATAGAATAATAGCACGAAATGGAAATAATCTCTGGGAAACAATGCAAGAAGAAAAACCCATAGGCTTTTACAACCTTAGTGCATGCCCAAACAGACCACTCCCTGGGGTTTTGACCAAGTAAACGCACCCTTCCCAGCTGGCCCAGGTAACCCCGTTATCCCTGCTGCTTTGTGAAGACATGACTCTTAGGAGTTGTCCCCATGCCACCTGTCAGAGGGCAAGTAACGTGTACAGGTAGCTTTAAAATCCGGGACAGCAGCAAGATGTCATGAATAATTGCACTCGTGAGGCGTAGGTCCCAACAAGCAGTGACAGCCCGAGGAGGGTGACGGGGTCACCACAGCCTCTGCAGTCGAACAGCGGCTGAAGCAGGTCAGAAACCTCTTCAGCAGCGATCCCAAAATATGATTAGGTCATGATTACACTTCCAGGCTAACTACCGGAGAAGACTCCTAAAGATAAGAGGGAGCTGAATCCAGAAGTAAATCTGCTCTTCTCACCAAAGACTAAGTTAATGCCTTTTTTTTTTTTTTCTTCCTTGAGCCAGTGCCCATCTCAAAATGCGCTTAAGACTCCAGGCCTGGACACCAAACAGCCATGTCCTGAACAAGCATCACCCTGGCGGGCTGGGATAAAGAAGGGACATTCCTCTCCAAGGGGAAGGCGTGCCACGATCTCGGTTCTCTGCACGAAACAGGGACTCAGTAGTTCAAAAGGGAAAACTCATCATTCACAAAAGGACAGAGAAGTCTATGAGATACAGCACCTGAATCACTAAGCCTTCAGACTTGAGAGGCTTCACCAGAAGCATGTCAGAAAAAGAAGTTTTATATAATTGCCATTTTTAAACTCTCCCTTGTATCTCTGGCATACTAAAATAAGAGTTCTGTATACCATAAAATGTCTGGATTTTCTTCTTCTCCATGATAAGAATAACGCAATTTAATTCAAACAGCCAGAAAGCCATTCATGTAACAAAAAGTTTCTGTTTTAACCTCTTTTCAAGGAATGGCAGTAAATCTGAAAGTGTGCAGATGTGCAACTGCTAGAAATTAACGTGAAATGGCATGGAGTAGTTTTAATTTTACCTGTATTTAGAGAGCACCTTATTTCAGAATACAAAAGCAGCTTCTGCAGACAACCCCTGCTGCTGCCAGGCTTCAGGCAGTCGTTAAGACCGTCTCAGAGCAGATCATTAATCTTTGGCCAGCAAATTGGTCAGCAGCTTGAACGGAGTACAAACTTGTGCAAGAATAAAACTGTGTCGGCAGCTTACTGCAAGGTTAAAATACAGAACCCCAGAGCCTGCCCAAGTCCCAGGGCTGGTGGAAGCTCCCGAGCAGCCCCGAGGCCAGCCAGGCACACAGCTGGGGTTTTCTCGTTTTCTTTCTTCTCCTCTGCACCCACCAAAAATGACTCTAAAAAAAAATAATAATTACTCTCCCCAGTCCTTCATTAAAGAAATCACTCCAGTGAACACTGAGTTTCACTGTTTTTCACATGCAGATGCCTGTATTAGGGAAAAAAAATATTAATTACAATATTTTATATTGCCATGAATATATATAAACTTTCAACAGAAATCTGTAGTCAAACAAAAGATTGCTGCCAAAACACCTGAAACAACTTTGGTAAACAGACTCTTCTGAAGAAACTGAAAAAGGGAAAGCAGCAGCTTTTCCCCATATTTTAATGGGGAAAAAGATCTGATTTGCAGCTGTAATCATCTCAGGTGCAGCACGTAAATAAGATTTATGCCTCTGATTTTAAATATCCTCACTAAATTTTATTTAATAGCAGAACAAAAACCAAAAAAATCCATTAATTCTAAATATTACGCAATACTGGCAGTGGCATGCAGAGAACCAACGTGATATCGTTATCAGCTGCAGCTGTTCAGTTCCTCAAAACCTCCCACAGCAAACCAGAAGTTTTTAAGAAATGCCAGAAAAGGAGCTATATCCACATCCAGGTGATACTGAGCTTAAAGCAAATCGTATTTGGGGGAAAATCCTGGTGGGAAGAAAAATAATTTAAGAAAACAAAACAACGAAAAAAAACACCCCAGAATAAAATCCTGAATGACTGAAGTAAACTTTTCCCATGATCTCATAGTCTTCTATAGTAGCAGCACAACTCAGCCAGGACAGTTAAAATTAATAGTTGTACTAAGTAATATCACATAAACTAACTTGCCAGAGCACATGCCAGCCAGTCACCATATGAAATTATTCTCAATTGCACTAGTTTGAGTGAAGTGAACTTTATGGAGGATAAAAATGTTGCATGTTCTATCAGATGAGAAAATTCTTCATTGGGATAGACTGCAATAGCCCCCCATGGCCTGCTCCAGCACTTATATTTTTCCCATTACATTCAAAACCACAATATATGAAAAATATATTTTTATTTAAAATAACATTCAATCCAGCCTAATATGAAGGCTAAAAAACCTCCTTGCAAGTTCAGTGGTTGATGTCACACTGGCAACTTTTAACATGCCAGGAAACCTAATGACATCTCACTTGCATAAATACTCAAACCTCCACAAAAGGCCAAGCTGACCCTTGGCTAGAACAAACACAGGATCCTCTGCACGTAGGTGGAGAAGGCACTGCAGATCTTCTAAGGTGGAAATCAGCTACACTTTCTCGCGTTTGAAACTCCCAAGTTTGTGCTGCTCACAACCAAGTTTTCCACACATCTCAGCTTGGCAGACTTTTTATTCTTCCGAGAGGAAAGAAGCACGTTAGATCTCTTGGCCTAAAAAAAAAATACCTTTTAGTCTCTAGCACTGAATTTTGAGACACATCCATTTGACAAGAAGACACAGGAAAACAGATAATCAAAAGATTCTTTATTATTTCAGAAGTCATCTTCTGAGTCATTATCCTCAATTTTTTGCAGTGGCCGTTTAACTCCAATTATCAAATCTATGGAGAGAAGCTCTGCAACACAGTGAAGAACTGAAATGACTAACTGGTATTTGCAATACACTAATTCTAAGCCTTTCTCATTGACAGGCAGTGGCTGATTTCTTCTGAGTGCATTTACGACTTTGAGATAGAATTTGTTAAAGCTGTTTTGTTCTGTTGTCCTGTATAAGGCCTTGGGGATACTTAGCAAAGCATCAGCAACTACATTAGCTATGACAGTTACTTCTGACTGCTGAAACTGCTTTGCGTAGTGCTGAATATAATAGCTTAGCAGGATTTCAAAGTAACCTCCTACCGGCAAAACCGACCCTGCTTCTATGAGGGAGTTGGAATAATTCTGTGCAATACTTACACAACTCTTTCCATGTTTAAATGGAACTGTATCGCAACTTGTTTTCTCTACATCTTGGCCAACACCTAGGCGTTCCCATGCAGTGATTACATTAGCATTATCTGCTGCTGATGCAGCAGTGCTGTTGTTTTGATTGTTCACCAGTGAATCACTTTTATGGCTCTCATGCAAGTCACCCAGATGCTGGCATTTTATACACGGTTCCTGTACATCTCTTGAAGGCCCATCTCCTTCAGTGGAAACACTGAATTCTTTAATGTGCAAGATGGGATTTGAGGGGATATGCAAGTTTGTCTGCAGACACGCTGGACTGTCACTTCCCTGCAAGTCAGGGTCTGCAATTTGTGTCTCTCTTTCATCCCTGTGTGCTTTCAGCTGCAGTTCAGAAATCTGATTACTGTTACAAGAAATATGTTCTGTTGGAAATTGTTTCTGAGTAGTTGAAGAATGCCAGCAGAAAACGTCTGTGGCTTCATTATGGCTTTCACCTTCTGCTTTACATTCCTCCCTCAGATCAACTCTTTTGAACAGCTGCTGCAGCATGGTGAAGGCCCCTTGCAAAGCAGCAGCATGTTGCTCATTAACACCATCGACCGGCCCACACAGAATGAGGCAATGGGGCTGGAAGGCACACACGCTGGTGAAGCCAATGTGAACGCATCTCTTTGAGCCCAGCAGCAAGGGCTGGCAGAACGTTGCTGCTGCTGTTTCAGTGATTTCTCTGTGTATGTTATCACCAAAGGGTTCATAAGGTGAGACTCCTGTGATTTCACAGATAAGGGCAATTTCTTCCGACGATAAGCACTCTACCACAGACACACCGTACAATTTCGCGCAGCAGATAACTACTTCCTCTTGCTTCACGCTCGACAGTAGCAGCTTAACGTTGTTGCTCTGCAGGTGTTTCATCAGGGCTTCCGTCCTCCTGGAGATCCAGCGCAAGGCGGCCTGATGCTGACCCTCGGAGCCAACAACCAGCTCCACGCCGGGGGCCAGGAGGGGGGGCCGGAGGGGCTCGGTGACCAGCACGATCCGCAGGTCCCCCACGGCCGGGCAGTACGCCGCGAAGTCCCTGCGGAGGACGAGCCCGGGCAGGACCCTGGAGCTGGCCAGGGGGAGGCCGGGCACGGCGGCGTGCAGCTCGGCGAAGCGGCTCCCAATGAGCCGCAGCACCCGCGGGCGGGGAGCGGCGGCCGGGCCGCAGCAGCGGCGGACGAACTCCCCGCAGAGCCGGGCCAGGCGCCGCCGCTCGCCGGGCCCCAGCCGGCCGCCGATGGCATGTGTTTTAGTGTGTGTGTGTAATTTCTGCTGCGTGTGACGACACCGATTTTTGCATGTTTATCTCTTTGGATAATAGCAAGAGTTATGATTTATGTAGCACTCTAGAAGTGTACCAACAGCAGTTGCAGGAATTAATCTGAGGAGGTCCAGCAGAGTGTATGCAGTTGGTCTGGCATGTGGTGGCGTATGTAGTACTTCATTAACTCTGTGTGCCTTGTGACTTGCTCTAGTACCTCAGCAAAAAGCCGAGTATCAGGATATTCTAGTACAACTGGATGGGAAGACACACAAATAAAGAACTCGTGATGAACTTTTCAGCTAAAACTTAATTTCCTTTTCTTTTTTTTTGATTCCACTCATTCATCTCCCATCCTTCTGTCTGCATATTATACACTGCTCTCTTTCTTTACCATCTTTTTCCCCATTGCCCTGTGCCTTTTCCTTCCCAGATGAACCATCCCTCTTTTTCCCATTCATTGCACTTAGTAGGTTCTCTCCATAGAGTTCGTAATTTCTTTCCCCACCTCCCCCACTCATCCCCACATCTTGGGCAGGAGTGATGGAAGCAATGGTTTCTGAAAGAGCAAACCATTCTCTAGAGTACTGTTTCTCTCTCTAGAGAAACACTGCAGATCATTATCTTTCTCTTCCTGTTAATGGAGAAACAGAAAATATATGAAGTGAGTTGATAAAATGGTCAATGTGTAGATGAAAGTCCTTTTGCTGCAAGAGGTATCATAAATATAATGTACCTACAGGTATTTGACCGCCTCCTGCGCCAACCGCCCGGGCTGCGGCCGCCGCGACATGGCCGCCGCCTCACGGCTCTGCCCCGCGCCGCGGCGGAGGGGGCGCATGCGCGGCGGCGCGAGGGGAGGCCGCGGCCCGGCCCCGGGGGAAGCGGCGCAAAGAAGGGCTCGGTGCTGGGGTGCGACATGTCTTTATTGGGCGCGGCGGCGGCCCGGTAACAGCTCAGACCCGGTACGCGACGGGGGAAGGGCGGCGGCCACCGAGCAGATACAGGGCGGGCTGCGTGTCGGGGGAGACTAATTTTCCCGCTTGGTGGAAGGAGAAGGCCGGGCTGCCCCCCAGGGTAAAAAGCCGAAATAAAAATACTAAAGTAAGAGCTGAGAGACAGGGTATCTGTTCCTGGAACAGCACAGGGGAGTGCTGCTCCACCGGATCAAACGCCACAAACCTCCACTCGCGGCTCACCAGCCAGAAGAGAAAATAATTTAATGTGTTTTAACAGTGGGGGGTGTTTTGTGATTGTTTTTTTTCCCCAGAATCCAACTAAGCAGGAAAGTTAGTTTTCCAACACAGAAGCCCTCACAAAAGGTCAGATGTTACATATGGCACAAACTCGACTAATCTTCCATACATATCTCAGAACAGCAAGAAACCCAGCAAGAAGGCACTGTTTACAATACTTGAAGACCGGCGAAATTTTTTGTGATGTGGAGGATACCCTTGAAGTAACAATAATTAAAACTTAGAGATGTACAGAACCCTTGTTACATGTTATTTACACAAACAGTGGTAAAGTAAATAGCCTTTAAGAAACTATGAAACCTTGAATCCAAAGTCTGTTTCATAAACACCAGTCTAGCAAAAAAAATAATAATTAAATAAAATTCCCAAAGGCACAGGAGGGCAGTGAACAGCAAACAAAAAAGGGAAGAAACCACCATCACTATGTTTTATGGGACAACCTTTCAAATAATTTCTGAGATCTAATTGAGAGGGTGGGGAACCAACAAGGCTATACCCACATTAAGTAATGTCAACTATTTAAAAGGAATCAACAAATGAAATGCAAGAAATATCACCTACTGCCGAAACTGATACTTGCTGCATTTCACATGGCATATTTACTTTTCCTTACTTTAGGTCATCTGTACCTAAATGGTAAATTAAAGGCTTAGAGTGCATTTGAAAAAAAACAAACCCAAAACAACACAACCACGTGGTTACAAATTCTGAAAATAGTTCCTGTACAAGAAAAACAAACAAACAAACAGAACAATATTTGTAAATCAAATGTGAAAACAAGTGCTGTTTTAAACTTCAAAGACCAGGAGGTGGCCCAAAGCCTTCAAACAACTGCAAACTGTACAATCAATTTTTATAACTGTGCAGAGCTCAGTCTTAAGTGCATAATATTCAAGATCAGCTACATATGATTAAACAGGACAGTGGGGATGCGCTAAAGAAAAGGCTTCATACATGCCTGTGACCAGCCAAACTAAAAATCACACAAGAAGTTTCTTTGTTCTATTCCCATGAGGGAACATGATACAAAACCCAGCAAAATTAGGAATTACTAAGTTTTCACTGTACTTTTTACAATTTATCTAATTGTACAGTCAGGCAGAACTTTTTGAAAAAGTTTCATCATATCTCTTCCCATATTACCTTCCTGGACCACCACTAAAGCCCCTTTTACAGCGTGAATTTCAGACGTGGAGCATCCCTTTGGTCGGACATCGCCCAAGGCGGCACTGCCAGCCAGCTGGCCGGGTCAGATCCACATGTGCCACCCTGCAGGCCGGGTAACAATACATGCAGACTGTGTCAGTAACTGATCTTGAATAGAAGCGATTAAAAAAAAAAAAAAAAATCAACATAAAAGGGCAGGAGGACGTTTCTATTTACAAGGCAGATAAAAGCTTGCAACTATCAGTCAAGAGTTTCAGCACCACAAATTTAGCAGAGTATTATTTTAGGAGATTGAAATTATTGCCCAAATTCTCCCTCATTTCCTCTTTACTCCCATGCACAGAGTATGCTTAAAGGCTTGTAATGGGTCTTAAGACAGGTGAAGCTTTGACAGCCGAATGTGATAACGAATAGCCAAATTCCAGGCTGAGAACATTAAATTAATGCTATTATATTTACTTGCTTTATGCTATTTTATACATGGCTAACAACTTCAGTTTCTATTTAGAGACTTAAATCAGGGAATTTTTTTTAACCTTTTTTTTTTTTTCCTATAGCGAGGGACTTTCTATATTGACCAATTTTACCTCATCAGCTCTAAAATATAATAGCGGTCCAATCAAGTTTGGTCTTGCCAACGTATACAGGATCACTCTGGTACCACATTCCAGAAAATGATTCAAGACCAAACTATGCTAATAGGAAGCTGTAAGAAATAAGCTGAAGTTGACTCCTTAAGCAAGAAACTTTTACCGAGCTGAGACCCAAAGAAGGGGCAAGGTAAAAGAGAAGGGGAGGTGTGTGAAGATGGCAGCCACAGGAATATATGAGCTAGACTGACAGACAACAAGTAAATAGTATTTTCACTAAAGGCTGGGTGAGACTGATGCAGAACAGAAAGGTGGATCACCTGGTGAGTCAGGGAGGCTGCCCGGGGCAGAGGGACAACTGGGCCATGGCAAAAAGCCAAGAGTGACCTTTGAACTGTCCCATGGCCCGGGATGAATTTGATTTCTGAGAGGATCCTCAGAAAACAAACTTGGCTGCCCTTTGCATCGTGCTGCTCATCCTCCTGTTGTCTCACCTGGGTTACTGAGAGTACCTTTACAATACTACAGCCCCTTTCTGACTTTGTACACCTGGCTGGCATCAGGAATTCACCAGCTAAACACTGGCACTACATATTTTTTTTTTGCTGGAATTTTACAAGTTCTACACATGCATACATTTGTTCAAATAAAGATGTTAGAAACCCTGGTTTTAAATTGAAACTTAAGCTTCATATTGATTTATATGGCTACAGCATAATGAATAGGAGCATCCATGTGTACTAATAGGTAGTATATACTGCAGTAAGTTGGAATTTAACAGAGACTTAGGGTTTCACTCTCATTTGTTTTGATGTGTGTGGTGATGTTAGTTATCTCACAATTTCTGATGACTTTCCCCGTGTAAACATGCATGTTTTCATTTGCAAGTGAACTCATGACGGTGCCCGAATTCTGTTCTACATCATCTGCCTTTTGGAAGGTTCAACTCAAGCTACACACTAAGCACACATTTGCATCTTCACATTTTGTTTCAAAAATAAGAAAAGAGTCCTGGCATCAGCAGTCTGTCTGCTTACCGTGACCTGGCCATACACAAATGTAAATTCAAGGCTATAGATTTATCAAGACTTACAAACATACTCTAAAACCTTGACATTTGCAATTCACAAGAGAGAGTTCACCAAGACAGTATCTTCTCCGGTGCTGTACTGTTAAAAATGTGCTCTGTACAGTAGATGCAGGAATGTTTTTATGAAGAATCTGAAGTTTTAAAACTATAAAAATAAAACAGCTGGCTTACAAGCCACTATAGTAATTCAGGATAAAAACTCATGCTTCCAAAACAAGACAAGGACATTACATTGCAGAATTCCCAAGGACTCCAGCTTTTTACTTGCCAGTTCCTAACGGTCATGATCTTTGTATAATAATGTATTTGTTTGACCTTAAACAAAATTTAACTTCCAAACACCCAACGCCATTTACAAAAAAAACTGTTGGCTGCTTCAGAAGTTCCTTTGTTACAAAACCAGCAAGTATAAATGTAACAAAGTATGCTCGTTTATCATTCTACCGTAACAGGGAATCACATTCTACCTACGGGGTCTGACCTCCGAATTGTTCACTTCATCTATTCCGTGGTGCAGACTCATCAGTACAGCGTGTGACGCAATATAAAACACAAGGCTGACGTCGAATGTCTGTGAGACAGAGGCACACACCAGGAGCAAGAGTGTACTGGCACTTAGACAATTCTTACTTCAACTGGGTAGACAGGAGTATGATTCTGAACCATGGGCGCCGAGGCAAAGTTCTGTGAGTTGTTGCTACAGGGAGGGCTCCTTGAAATAATATTGCATCATTTAAAGTCCAACTTAAAATATGGTCCCCAGTAACAGTTTGATCGTTCCAGTTCAGAAAGGCCCTTGTTCACGCTTCCTATTTGAACAAGAAATTAATGATAAGCTGCAGCAGAACCACGAGTAAAATGAAGACATAGTGCTTAAACTGCAAGAAATGGTAGTCCACGGGTGGTGAATTAGAAGCGACTCTGTTTCGTAGAGCCATAATGTCCCTGCAAGATAGAAAACAACATCCTGTAAATGACAATCTAGACAATTTGGCATTTTCTAGTATGCTAGGGCTCCCTGCAGAAGACAGCGTTTGAGGAAAATTCTGAAACATCAATGAGCAACCAACATTTGGAAAGAAGGGTAGTTTAAAGACATCAAAGCTCTAATGCAGAAAGATACATACCAGCCTCCAAGGGAAAAAAGCTAGAAAATTAGTATTCTCTAAACTATTTTAAAGCACTTTATTTAGTACTACCTCTTAATGTCTTCTTGTGTTTCCTTTATAGATTCAATGGCACTCTGCAGTTCACCAAGGTCTGTCCCTTTTTTCCTTATTCTTGTATTATGCTTCAGAAGTTGCGCTAGAAGATACAAAAGCCAGATGTAATTCACTGAAGTGACTGCTAAGCCAAAAAAGGGACAAAGTACTGATGACAAACTAAACCAGGTGCAAAAATGAAGAGAGTTTTCTAACTAAGCCTCTTCTGAAAACTAAAGCTTTACTTCAAAGTCACCTGTAGCACAGGACAAGTCAAGTGCTTGAAATACCTTAAAACACTCACTGTATTGTTTAATTTTTGCAAGCATCATCAACACCAAAAATCAGCCTTCCAGCGAGATACTGATATACAAATTAAAACAATTCATCTCGTTTTTAGAAATAAAGAGTTTACAAACTTTTTTTTTCCCCCAGATACTAAATATGCGTAGCACTTCGACCTACCTACACTACATACTGATGTTTAAAAGGACAGGAAAGTTTGCAAGTAAAACCATGAGCCATTCTGCTCCTTTTGTTTTTCCAGAATGTGTTCACATTGGATCGAACTGTCATCTAAAACCATGCATTAGTTCACAATACAAACACTGGAAGAGCATGTGTGACTCCAGAACACTGTCAAATAAATTTATTATTTCTGTATGCAAATGTATCTTTCCTTACCTTCACTCCCAGAGGAATCCTGGTTATCAGGCTCTGGCGATGAGAAACCACACTCTCCTTTCTTCTGACTGGCTGGCTTACGTTTGATTTTTGGAACACTAACCTGCAATTGATAAACTTATTATTTCCAGAGATCCAGAACTGTAGCAAAGCAGCACATTCTAATAGTTAAAAGCATAATATCTAATAGAAGTCCAAGTTAAAAATTTTTGATATATAAGCAGTCTGAAGTTTGTGTGTCTTCCCATTTAAGGGAAAATGCACATTAAACTGTTGAGTTCAAGTCCACATATTTTATATTCTTATCCAATCAAGTCATCTCTACCACTTAGGACACAACACAGAAAGGAAGGACTATGGACGGGGTTAACTGCATTTCTGTAGAATAACAATAGAATTTCCTATCACTACCAGTGCTTTGATGATGTTTATACACATAATCCAATACATACAAGTCCCTGATCCTGCTGCACCTGCAAACAGAACTGGAACATACCATTGGCGTCCGGTGTCGAACTTTCGTTTGGATAGTGCCATCTTTTTCAAATTGGATCATATCATTCAAAGGGTCCCATGGTCTGGTACTAGACAAAGTGAATATAACTGATTAATACCACAGCAATTTAAATAAGAATTATCTTCCTGCTCAGAAACTATTTGATACGAAAAGGTTAAAGTACTCTCTCCTTATACAGAAGTCAGGCATGGAATAATTGATCCCACCTTCTACCTGTAGCCCAGTCCTAACCTGAAGGGTCAAGAGAACCAAGAAATAAACTTCACATCCAGGTCAAACCCTCAGTCAGCTGGTAAAAATACAAGCTATTGTATTAACAAACAATATCATTATGAATTTATCTGCCTAGTGATATGTATTTGTCAAACATGGAGAGTTTTTCTGCTTAATGTATGGTTATTCTTTTAGACCTACAGGGAAATTAGAAGATTTTGTAAATTACTATGTTGGACTGCTTTTTTTTTTTTTTTCTTCTTTTAAAAGGCACCTAGGAAGGAGAGGTTAAGAATAGGAAGGAGAAGTTAAGAATCAGCCACCTCAAACCTGCTTTCATCCCAAAGTGGCTGATGGTAATCAAGACTGGTTTCAAGAGGCATTAATGAGCTATGCACAGTTTGCTCGTTCTGATTTTAAGAGTGTTTTTCCAAGTACAGGTTCATATAGAATTAAAAATTTTAAAAAAATCACACAAAAGACACATAGCTTACTGGAGAATAAGCAGCAGCCAAAGGCAAAGACTGACATTCCCACTGATTACAGCCTTTTCAGGACAGAAACTGCCAGTCAGCTGCAGGAAGATCATTCTGATGCATGGCTTTAGTGAGAGTAGATTAAGCACGGATTTCCTTTCATCTCCTCCTGTACACCTTTTAAAATGTTTGTGGCTGTTTCAGATGTTGTGAACACAGACCTGCATTTACATCTTGGCCTAACCTGACTTGAATTAAATGGCATCTAAGGTAACTGGGTAAGAACAAGGCATTGCCCTCCAAAAGGTATTTTGTATCTGTAATCCAGATGCCTAAATCTATAATCCAGATACTTTTAACAAATGCCATGGCTCACTAAACGCATTTTTACAGTAAGTGTAGAAGACTGTTCTCCACATGGACAGGGTGGTGAGATGGCATTATATGCATAGGAGACAGACGTTTCTCCCAGGCACTGCTGACAGCACAGACTGCTTTCTCACACATAGTAAAATTTCCATGGCACATCCTTGAACCACAAGGCCCCAAGGAGACAAGAAATAACACAGATTAACAAGATAGGTCTTAAAGCTGCAGGGGATAGTCTAACAGATTTAAAGTGCAGTACTTTTCCTGGTGGTTTTACACACAGCTCAACAGTATGGGCAGTTAAGTCAGCTGGACTAGTCATAATTTTTCCAACAGGAAGAAGCATCAGCAACACTAGAAGGTTCAAAACAAGAGAGGGTGTTTCACAGAGCCTTTAGTGTATTTGGGGATTTCCCTGCTGCAGGATGTTTTCGGTGGTAAAAGTCTACACAGACCTAGAAACCTCGGAAATACATGGAAAAGAAATCTATTGAGAGCTGCTAAATACAGAGAATCCCTGCTTTGTTCCAGGAAACCTCTGAGTTGCAAATTTGCTGCAGGAATGAAGAACACTCAAGAACCCTACAAGTAAACTTAGGGTACTGCCCCAAAATTGCCATTCTTGTACAGAAAGATGAAGCATTCCAGGTTTAGCCATGGGAATATATTTCCAGCTTCAATGGCTTCAGAATTACTTAACTCAGAGTATATCATCTTTGCGTATTTTACTTTTACAGTCCTTGCAATCTAGAAGCATGCTGGGTAATGGAAAAGAATTATGAGAATGTGGGTGTTCTGTGAAAATCATCACTAGCAAAGGGCTCAGCTCCAAGCTGACTCTTGCAAGAGTCAATGAGAGCAAAGAATGCATTCCAGCAGTTGGAGAGGCAGCTGTTGATCTTCATCTTCTGATCCCCATCATCACACAGAGCTTCACAGATGCTCATGTGTGCAGGGTGTATTCGACAGCCGAGCTACCTGGTCCAAGCATTAACCACTGCTCTAAACCTGTTACTCTCAAAATTAGTCTAACATATAATAAGTTAAATAGTTCAGTTCAATTAATCACAAGCTTTTCTGATTTACAGTTGCTGTGTTTATGTGTGCCATATTTTCCAGTCTGGGAAAAATGTGCTTTGGTCAGTCTAGAGGTAGGAAAAAAGAGCACAATGCATCCCTGAGTGCCATGCCCAAGATACTCTAGAACATAGCACAAATTTGTTAAGGCACATAACCATAAAGATAAAAAAGAAAAAGCCCATTACAATGGTTACATGGTTACTCACTCAGCATATTTGTAGTGCCATTCTCCGGTGACGGGATCCTGATCGAACAGCTTGCACGTCCATTCTTCACCCTTCAGTTTCCTCTCTTTGGCTCTCTTTCTCTGAGCTTCTTCCAGAACACATTTCTCTTGAGTAGCTTCTGTTTGGTCTTTATTATTTATTGCTCTTGTCACTTGTTGCCAAAGCCTGACAAATGTGGAATATAGAGAGTTACAATCTGGTTGACAGAAATAATTCCAAACAATTCCTTAATTATAGGCTAAGTTAAGGGATCAACCTCTAACAGACTATTGCCATGTTGTAATACATGTTTTTTTCTATATTTCCATCAAGAATCTCTATGACTGTAAGGCTTGTAAATAATGACCTTGTATTTAACAGAGTTGCTTTCTTGTTTTACAGGTCAGTATCAGTAAATGTGGGAAGGAAAGAAACCGTTTATTGTTCTCAATTTGTTCAATGTTCAAACCATAAAATTCGTTTATAATTTGGAGAAAATTATGAGTTTTATTTTGTCAAAATAATTATACATGGTTCTAAAGTGAACTTACTTCTCTGACTCAAAGTCATCTTGCTCTTCAAACTTCACCGTGTATCTAAGTAATCTACGCTGCTTGATATCAGATGTTGGGTTCCAGAACGTCTCTGAAACATCTGTCTTCTTGTCACTAATAGTAACTTCACTGTCCTGTAACATACATAGTTCAGTTGCCTTAATTGTAATAATCTCAAAGAGTTCCAAAATAATACAAAAAGGAGGAATAAGCAAATTTTTTTTTGGTAACAAGAATTTATTTTCTTTTGGATACACGTAGTTGAGAATAATTAAATATGCTAACTTTAAAATTCAATTTCTGTAGTCAGTGCTAGTTTTAACTTGGAACAGAGATACAATGGAACCATCACCACAGCAAAAAAAACAGTGGTGCCAGTGTCATCTCACCACAACTGAGACAAGTTTAAACATTTCACGCTGGTGCTGTAACAGTTCTTCATAGCACTAACACATACACTAAAAACATTTCACAAGCTGAAATATATTTTCTTCATGAACTACTCAATTGTACACAACTTTAAGAGTTGCAAGTAAAACTATGTTGATTCTATACTTCCTTGGAAACTAACTATAAAAGTGTTATTTAATCAACTTTTTCTTTAAACTTGAGTCTTTTTTTTTTTATAAAGTGCTATTTTCAACTGTCTCAACTATCAGCCAGAATTTAGAAAATACCATCATTCAGTACTCACCCAGTGACCCTCCAAAATAGCCAAAACTTCTTTGCCAAGCTTAATTTTCCCTGATATTTGGTTAACACTGTCATTGTTACCCAAAAAAGGCTGCAAAACAAAAAGAAATGCTTTCATGTTTATTTTTATAGCAAAAAATCTTTGCATTTATGTTCAGTGTTAAAGAAAAAAAGTACATTTCTGAAATGTGGTGTAAACAGCTCTGATGGCTTTTAATATTATAACTTCTGCCTATTTCATCCCCAAAACATGTCTAAAACCATAGTTCTCTCATGCTGTATTTTCTTACAAGATTTGCTGAGCAAAAGCATTGTCTAAGAAATGTGGAAAGAAAACAGAACACAAGGCAAAAAAACCAGTGACACAATGATATCTTGGAGCAAATAGGCATTTGCTAAACCCATTTCACCACGTTGCCAAGGCCCATTTGTTACTAGAGATCAACTCATGCAGAAGTAACAACAAAAATGATTGTCAGGGATAATCTTTGGCCTTTTTGATACTCTGCACGTGTATCCTATGGGCTGATGAGGCAAAAAAAATCAATTGACACAGCCTCCTAACTTACATGTTTCAACTGAATACATGCAGACTTTTTAACAACCCTTCGTTCAGCTTTAAATCAGTTTCAGCCTCAAAGATGGCAAGTGTATTTTTCAGAAGTGCAAGCCAACTATAAACAGTTCAGAAACCTTTGTTTAGCTTTTGTGAGTGGTGAGATACCAAAAATAGTCCATGTAAACTAATGCACTGTGCATTAGGCTGATCTAAACTTTAGCCAAAGCCTTTGCATCATCTTTATTCGAGGTGTCATGAGCAACTTAAACTTTATGCAGGATGGAAGAGGAGAAGCTGGGTCTCAGTTCTCCTCCAAGTGCTCTCCAGGAGTTGATAAAGTCCCTGAACATTTGTAGAGAATTAAAAATCGTGAAGGTACATTAACAACAATACACAAAATCCCGGAACCATTGATCAGAACGCTTTCCCTGTTCTTACACTTCCCTAGACACACACTGGTGCCACTGCTGGAGATAAGACAGACTGTTGCTTTTTCCCCACTAGAGCTGTTCGTAAGACTCATACGACTGGCAATATGTTTGTATCTGTTATCACCAGAGATGAAGACAGCACTCTAAGTTTCAGTCAAAACCTTTTTACTCAGAAGAATACACTAAGAGATGCCAAATAATTCCTTTTTTTTTTCTTAAAAAGAAAATAAAAATCACTATTTGCTAAATACACATAGCTGGATATGTAGCAGTTAAAATGAAAATTCCTCAGTTTCTAAGACGACAATCCCATATTAAGTCAGGTCATATCTAAGGAATCACCCAATATTTTTCTTTTTTTTAATTATCTTTATGCTCATTCTCCTTCTTGTGCCCACTTACAGCAATTACTAACCTTGAGTTTGAATTCAATTGTTGCACTGTAGCCAGTTTTCTCACAGGTGATGTTGACTGTTCCCCCAAGCTCTAAGGTCATTGTGCCATAAAGAATTCCTGCAAGACAAAAAAACACCAGCTAAAATGAATGTTTGTAACTGAACAAGACAAACCCCCCAAATTCTTTGGGCACAACTACTAAAGTAAACAAGTCTGTGCCAGAGGAAAAATCATCTTTTCAGATGACCTTTCCTAATGCTAAGCATGGTCTTTCTGCCAAATAAGATAACCTAAACAGAAACAAAACAACAACAAAAAATATTTAAGTGAATTACAAATAAGCAGGAAAAATGGTTTATTAAGACATATCTTTGGCAGCGTACGCTGCTGGCTCTAGCAAGGGTGGTATTTAATCTTATTGGAGATGATTGGAGGAGGGCAGCTTTTTAGGTTAAGGCAGGAAAATAACTCTAGGGCAAAGACAGCAAAGAAAAATGACTTGAAAAAGCAGTACGTACAGTGAGACAACAGGTGAAGACAATCATGGACAACCAATATAAGAAAACACTGATCACCTCTCTAAAGACTTTTGGAAGCACGAAGTTGACAATGCTGAGTACACTTTTCCCATAATTGCTTTCTTTCTCCCTGCAATCCAGCATTTGAAACACTGAATATATTTTACACACAGTGGATGCATGTTCAAGTATGGTTTTTTCACCATGCATATTCTCCTTCTCTGCATATTCTTCTACCTTTCTCCCTCTCTATCAATTTGATCAGTCACATCAGTTCTCCTTCTTCCTGTTTGACTGGAATGTATGTATATATGTTATGAGCTTTTTAATTGTTAAGTATTATCTATATATTAAAAAAAAATCCAAGAGAATATTAAAAATATCCATGAACAATGGAAAGAGAAGAGCCTACCAAACTAATGTCAAATTATCTAATTCTGCTAATTCCTTTTCATACGTCTCAAATGAAGAAAATATTATAGCTGCTGACTACAAGGCTTCTGAAAGAGAACTCTGGCAAAGAATATATGGGTAGATATAGCTGAACAGGTAACAGTTTAAAAACTAGCAACTCTGCAATATATTTTGTACAACTACCAACCTTCCAGAAAGATTTACAAACTACTGACTGGTTTCCCATAGTGAAACTAAGGGCCAATGATCATGATTTACTCTCAAATCACAGAGTGAGGTGTGGATACTACATTGCCTTTTATATTTACAAGAGGAAAGTATTGGAAAAGCTAGCTTAAAACTCTTCTTTAAAAAAAGCCAATCAAACAGTAAATTGCTGTCATGGAATGACAGATAGCTATGTATTTGCTCTTACTATTTATGAAAAAAATCTTTTCCTGTGGCAAAAAAAATAGATCATTACTTACACAACAGAAGTATTTTTCTCCTGATAAAACAAGTGGAAGCCTAGAGCCACCAACACTACCAATGGTCAGAACACTCTTCTTAGATGACCAGCTTGAATCCAACACAGTATACTAAACGGAATAATAAACTTCTGTTCTTATAACTTTGCCATCTAGAGAATGAAAAAAACCCACTACCTTTACAATGAGCATATGGCATTGTCATTACATAATCTTCTCCCCTATTTAGGAATGTCAGCCGTCCTTCTCCATCTAATATGGCAGATAATGAATTCCCTGAAATTCAAAGACAGAAAATCACATTTCTCACCCTGCAAGACAACAGTCAACATTTCCTAATAAATGAGCAATAAAATTAAGAGCAACAGTGTACTTAGCATTGCAATCCATCCTGTCTAGTGAAGCTGCTACAGTACCAATTAAAAATTAAAAACCTCCAAAAATAGAAATTAAAATTTGGAAGACCAGGAGCACAACATATGTAAGGAAAGGATAATATAATGATCAGACTCAATTCTTCTAACAGCTTTCTTTCATCCATAAAACCAGCTCACTTGCACTGATTTTACTCTCCTCAAAGTACAATGGAAAAACCCTATTACTTACCGTAGAATTTGGATTTGGCCAGAATGCTACCACTAAGGCAAAAACCATCCTTGCGGTTGCTAACGTAGAAGGCAGATATTGGAGGATGATGGGACACCTGTTGAAAAAAAAACCCCAGATATTTTAAAAAAAAAAGAAAGATACATGTATATGCAACATAGTGTAAACCTTGAGCTAATAATGACAGAATTAAAAATTTAAGCTGCACATAAACAGAATACAGTTAATAGATGTGAAACGCGACTATAATCTTTAAAGATAAAGATGAAGCAAACATTCTTACTGAATTTCAAGAGTTAAGAAAATTAGCACCTGACTTTTACTTTCTCTCTTTTTCTCTAGGAAGGCACACTAAAAGAGACATCCGTAAAAGAACCTACATTCATCAGGAGAGCTTTTAGGATACTATTCACAGATTTAAATACGTTTTCTGAAACTGCCACATTGTTTGTCTAGCACAAAAATGTGATAAATCTCTTTTTGTCTTCAAAATATTTATCCCAGTTATTGCAGCTACCTGTTCCGCAATGTAAAAAGTCTTGCTGTTCGTCCTTGGATGAATCCACATGCAGCGGAAAGTCTCACCAAGTATAGGATTGTACGGCTTTTTTAGTCCCTAAAAAGAAAGAGAACAGAGAGTAAGCATACAATGCAAGTACAGAACTTACAGAATACCTTATCAGCTTAGTCACTGAAGAGAAGACATCCACATAATAATAATATATATGCTGAAGCACATTGTACTTGGTTTCATCATTTGAATATTATGCTTAATTACTCTGCTCTTCATTCTAAGGAAATCAGCACAGATTTGGCATATCTGCTAAACTGTTCCAGGCGACACATAAGGACAAACAGAATATAAGGATTTTTGTAGGAAAATTATTACAGATCTTTTGTTTGAAGTTATGCAGTAAGCACTTTCTGCCTTTAATACTGTTTTCCACCAACATGACTATAAAAAATATTCAGTGTAAAGTTAAATGAAGTAGTGGAAATATTACTCCTCCGACTGCAGCATGTTATCACTGAGGAATGGTGAACATAGAACCGGCTCAACTTCATCACAAGATGTTTAGCTCAACTTCTACTCCAAGGGAAAAAACCCCAATTGACTATAATCTATTTTAAGCACGGCTAGGGACCAAAAAGGTCCATGATGTATTTGCATAAATAATGAAAACTTAACCTTGCTTTTAAAAAATGCTTAACAATATAATTTAAAAACAAAAACTTACTCCAGCACATCCCTAAACCCTCAAACTAGACACAATGACTAAAGTAAGTCAAAATAACACGTTGGAAGGCACCTTTGGCTTTTTGTAGAATCCTGACAAATACCACTTCACTACTTTTTTCATGCGGTTGTAAGCATTCTCCTCAAGAGCAGCTCTGTGAAACAAACAGAATACACAGATCAAATATCAATATTGTTTCAGTTATAACACGCTATCAATTGTTGTCTAACAGTTGACTAAAGCAAAAGTTTTGTGATTAAAAAGGTTAACTGTATTTTCACTATATTAAAAAGGTTAACTGGTACTGTTTTACCATTTTAAATATGTCTCCTAGAGAAAAAACTAATTTTGAGAAGTCTTCTAATCAGTCTCCAAAAGCTAAACCAGAAATGTCTGTAACACAATTGCTATTGCTAAGAGGGGCCAGACTTCAAGATGTACCATATGAGCTCCCAGGCAGTCAGCTTTCAGAGAACAAGGATATCTGATGACTGATACATTGTCAGACAAACATGTAAACTTTGAACAGCCCACAATGTTGCTTAAGGAGACTGCATCAAACATTTCAATCAACAATTACCCCATTTTGGTTCAAAAAAATGAAAAGAATGAAAAACAGACATAGCATTGACTCACTCAGACAGAAAGTCTGCATGGTAGTAGTAATCAGATAGCTTGTCCAGGAAAGAACGAGGTTCCAAGATAAATGTAGGCAGTACAACCTTGGACAAGTCCATTCCTGGCCGGACTTGCTTCAGCAGTGTCCAGATTAGACTTTTGTTTTCTTCTGACACTACTTCTGTCTGAGCAGCTTCCCCTGCCTAGAATGAAAAAAAGAAAACTGCTTACAGAAAGGAGAAAGAAAATAATCCTCCAGAAGACACGTCGACACAGTCTAAGGATGCAATGAGAATGAAAAATGGATACTTAAAATGAATGACTCAGAGAAGCTGAAGTAACTATAGGAAAAAAGATTAGGCTTCTCTAAATACACTTATTATACATCTTTAATGAAGTATGATAGATATACTATTCAGCATAAAAAACTGCATTTGTTTTCATCAGCTCAAAAACAGAAAAAATTGAGGCAGAATGTTGTTCAAAGATCTTCCTTTAGTCCTTTGCTAGTTACCAAGTACATTGCCTGTGTTCTCACGTGCAGGACTTGCATAGCAAAAGGCTGTTCATTCTACCAACTTCTCCCCACCATGAGAGCTGGCACACGTATGCTTTCCACTGCCTTGACCAGTCAACAGTATTAGTGGTTTTCCTTAAAGAAAGGAAAGTTAGCTTTTCTTTAGGTTTTCCTTAAAGAAATACACTACATAGGGGTAAGTGAGAAAAACCAGCAGCCACACTCTAATATGCTCCTCCCTGCCCAAGAAGAGAGGAGATATTCTTCCTTATAGTTTCTGAAATGAAAAGTAAAGATTGTAGGAAAAACACCCCTCTTTCCAGAACAGCTCTAAAATACATTCTCAAGAATTTGTTGTCAACTTAAACTCAACTTTTCCTTAACAACTGCCTCTTCTTAGAAACAATACTAGAAAGTAATAAAGCACAAAATATTTATGTCCCATAAGTATGGGAAAAAAAAACCAAAAAACCTCAAACACTAAACCCTCAGAGTTAGCACTTGAGAAGAAAGGAAAGATTTGTGGAAAAGCTCGTCTCAATTTTTGTTAGTAAGTTTTTTTGGTATCTTTATAGCAAGTAAAACAGACAAATACCTATCATAATTGCCTTTGTGGATACGCAAGACAAACCAGAACTGAAACAGCAGCTCTGGGGCACCCTATTAGAATGCAAGGTGACATCAGAAACACAGTAAGCTTTCCACTGAATTGTGCAGACCCCATGGCTGTTTAACTCCTCTCACAGTAGAAAACTAGAGGTCTCAGCTTGCATTAAAATCCTCAAGATTTTTACTTGAAGAAAGAACTGGGAGTACGTCAATAAAAACCAAGTAGAAATAATAATAACAAAAGGATGGGTAGACTTCAAATCAATTAAACCAAGAAATAACAGCAAAAGGACAGGTAGTCCTTCAGAAGGATGGCCAGCTTCTGTCGCAGGTGGCTCTTTTAAAATGAGCACTTTCTGCCTGAGCAATATTCCAGATAATCCCATTACTTCTGTAAAAACCTCAGACACAAGCACAAGAGTAGCAAAACAGAGCAGAACATGGGTGAACAGAACTTTTTCCACCCCTTATTGCTGAAAATCGGAAAGACAATTCTGCAAGTCAGCATTCAAGTGTAGTCTGACCCCTAAAATATCAGCTTTCTATTTGGAGAAGCTACTTGTTCACTACATCAACAGCACTTTTACCTCCCCAAGTTCTTCATGACTTTGTTCTAAGTAAGTAGTTTCCTTGATATCAATTGGTTCTGGATCAATGTAAGAATCATCCTGTCGCTCTGACGTGTCGCTGTCACTTTCTTCGCTTTTCCCCAATCCATCATTATCAGATTCCTCGTGGTCATGGTCATTTTCCTTATCAGATTTGTCAGAGTACATATCTTGATCCTTAAAGTGATGCCTGTCAATTTCACTGTCATTTAACCTACAAAAAATAAAGGCTAAGTGAATCTTCAACTACACACAATAAATTCCAAACTAGGATCTTAATAAAATACACATTAAAATTGTCAATATCAAGCCAAATCTGGCAGCAATGTCAAACTAGCTTTGCTGGAAACATAGAGGTTGTACTCTTCTCACTGAACTGTCAAATGCACCAAGTGTAGAATGGTACCATTGGAAGGCACCTATAACAGTCTTCTAGACCAACTGCCTGACCACCTCAGGGCTGACCACAAGTTAAAGCATGTTATTAAGGGCATTGTCCAAATGCCTTAAACACTGACAGGCTTGGGGCATCAACCACCTCTATAGGAAGCCCTTTCCAGTGTTCAACCGGCCTCTTGGCTGCCAGGGCACACCACATATTGTGTCTGCTGTCAGCCAGCACCCCTAGACCCTTTTCTGCAGGGCTGCTCTCCAGCCATTCCTCTCCCAATTTATACTTGTGTCTGCTGTTACTCTACCCCAGGCGCATTTGTTCTTATTAAATTTCATGCCATTAATGATTGCCTAATGCTCCAATCTATCTAGATCTCTCTGCAACACCTCGAGAGAGTCAGCAACACCTCCCAGTATACTATCATCAGCAAACCTGGTAAAGGTGCATTCAACTCCTGTATCTAGGTCATTGATAAATATATTGAACAGAACAGGCCCTAGGATTGAGCCCTGAGGAACACCACTGGTGACCAGTCTCCAGCCAGATGTAGCCCCATTCACTACATGCCTTTGAGAGCCCTGCCCTTCAGCCAGTTCTTCACCCAGCACATGGTGAACCTGCTAATCTCACAGCTGGACTACTTTTCCAGAAGGATGCTGTGAAGGACAGAATCAAAAGCCTTACTGAAGTCCAGAAAAACTACATTCACCACCTTCCCTTCATCTACTAGGTAGGTGACCTTATTGCAGAAGGATATCAAATTAGCTAAACAGAACCCTTCCTTTGCGAACCCATGTTGACTGTGCCCAATGATTGCAGCACTGTTCTTTAAATGTCTTTCAGTAGTATCAGTATGATCTTCTCCATAATTTTTCCAGGTACTGAGGTCAGACTAACAGTTCTGTAGTTTCCTGGGTCTTCCCTCACACCCTTCTTGTAACCTGGAATAATGCTGGCTAGCTTCCGGTCAGCAGGGACCTCCCCAGACTCCCAAGACCTTTGGTAGATGATCAAGAGGGGTACTGTTGTAACATCCACTAGCTCCTTCAGTACCCTGGGATGAATCCCATCAGGCCTCACGGACTTATGCACATTCAGCTGATAAAACTGATCTTTTGCAATTTCAGTATCCACAAACGGAAAGTCACTGTTTCCGCACTTGTGGTCCTCCAACTCAGAAGACCAGACAGCAGTCTGTCTACCAGTATTGGACTGAGGCAAAAAAAAGCACTGAATGCCTATTTTTCAGGTGACCATCTTCAACAAGTATCAGTCTAATTCCTTCCTTGGACCTCCTTTTGCTATTAATGTACTTTAAAAAAAAAAGAAAGCTAGCTGTCAGTTGAAGAGATGGCTTTCACCTTTCTTCTCCCTCTCCTGCCAACCCCATTAAAAATAGGCCTGCAGGTTTTGTTGCTCAGATAGTTAAACACATGGAATACTCTTAGAATATACTATATCCAAAGATCTACTTAATTAAACCATTAGTCTTAATTAGACTTAACAGTTGTAGCTAATTGCTGTGATTATAATCTGGGCCAGCTGCTGATATTAAACTACTTTTCATGAGTAGAGATCTCCAGCTGAATTGTACACAGCAGTTTTATTGTTTCCATGAGATAATAGAAGGAGCAAAACTGTAGTTCAGCTTGCTTGGTCATCTGGATAGAACCTTGCATCTGGGCCATGGGCAATAATTTGCCTTCTTCGTGCTTTTCTCACACTACCTATGCCAGAAAGAATTGCATTTCTCCCAGTCGAGGTCTTCTGTCTCAAATACAGGAGCATACCCTTAACAGCAGTACAAAATTCCTGTGCACTCAGAAAAGGCAGATGGGCAGCTAAATCTTCATGGATGGGAGGGATTATTTGAAATAAATTTACATCCACCTGAAAGTATATTGAACTGATGGAAGATTACTAAGAGAAGCTGTGCATAGCACAAACTTCAGACCCAATTATTTCAAATAAAGGACTAAACCTTTTGTATTTTCTAATGCATTCTGGTACCACAACTGAAGCGTTTGAAAAAAACATTTATTCGCTACGTTTGTTTAATAATGTTTTTCCACAAAATCTTATGCTCTCAAAAATCTGGCTGAAAGCATGTAATGAAATAAACAGGGAGTTACTCAAGGGCACTCAGACATCAGATCAGGTGATACCAGACAATTTCAACTTTTGTGAATTTAATTTAATATAATAATAGGATGACTTAACCATTATTCATCCATCTGATGATTCAAAGCTGAGACATGCTGAAATCATTTAAATAACGATAGGATTAATCTTTTCTTTAACCAAAGAACAAAACTTATATTCACATCTACCAACTTTTGTCACATGTACCGAACTTCTCATTTTCAGGTGAAGCTAACAAGATGCCAACTTCAAGATACAAAACATTAAAACTTTAACAGTTGAACTGAGTACTTAAACTTACTGATGTGATACTCAACTTTGACCTCCTTGGCCCAAACTTCCCTCTCACTTGCTTTGCTTGAAAAAAGATTTTTTCATTTTACCCACATAAAATACACGAAACATAGTGCAAATAAGGCATATGAAGAAAATTCAGGAGCACAAAGAGCTGCAACCTTAGGAAGAGACTCTCCATGTAGAGAAGTTATCATTACAAGGTCCTACCAAAAGGACAATCAGGTTTAGTAATTCACTTACGGTAAGTTTTCTCCACTGTGCAAGTTGTTAGCACGAAGCAGACCATAGAAAGAGACATGAGTATTGTCTGCTGAAGAGTTCAAATCGTGTTCTTTACCTTCTCTAACCATTGTACGTTTAAGTAGACTTGAACATTTCAGTGCCAGCTCCAAAGCATCCATCCAACACCTGCCTAAAAACAAATGTATTATTAGACTAAAAATCAAGGATTTACCTGACCTATAAAACTTCCATTTCCTAATTTCACAATCCTTTTGGGTCTACTTACTTTTCTTTTGAAGACACACTTCAGAGTTGTTCCATGTTGCATGCATTGGATTTTATAATGTGGTAGGGATGTAAAAACTACTCACAACTGTCCAGCTCTGGCACAAGGGGTGCTTCAGGGTATGTCAAGTAAGGTAAATCCTGATTCTGTTAGAGCATATTCCAGCATTTCTTCCTTAATGCAAGTATGGTTCCATCTAGGCCCTGACTGTTGAATTCCTCTGAAGTTCCCTGCAGCCCTGCTCTAGTTTTGAAGACTAAGTAACTGCATCAGTTGGCAAAATTTGCTCATGTAATACAATAACAATGTGGAAAAGGAGCTATAATGACAGCATAAAAATGCCATTTCAATATAAACCAGCACATATTTTTTGCCAAAAAAATATCAGAGTAACTAACCAAATTTGTGTGTTCTTTCCGCTCCATTTTTCTTCATTTCCATATTTCAATATAGAAGGCAAACAGAATTCTATTTTTAAAGTGAGCACGGGTATACTTAATTAATCACTAGAAGGAAAGTAGCTGCTACAAAGGTTACACAAGTCTTTAATTTTGTTTCCACATTGTAACCTTTGAAGAACGTTGCATTGATATTGACCATTACAGAGCCAGCCATGAGGGTGTTACAAAACTGTATTTTGAGGGAATTTTTACTCTAGAACTCTGTGCAACTGCTGCACTTTATAATATACAAACGCTTTCATTAGAAAGAAAGTATGTCCACATTAGCACTTTAGAAAGGCAATAGTTTGAGTATTTAGACATACATTAATATAGTTAAATCTGAAATAACCCCTTCCCTGTCCTATACCCAGCCAACACAAGGCAACTGCAAGGAGTTCAATGACAGTTTCTTCACGTCAGAATTTTCCTTTAATAACCATGACTAGCACCAAAACAATTGAATATACTAAGGGAGAAGGTTAACTGCAAACATAGTGTTATAACAGCCATCGTAAGACTGAAACCATCTCTAAATAAACTGCTGTCACTGCAGGAAAATACTGAAAAATCTATTTACCATCTGATTCTGAAGCCGCTCGGATGATCAAATAACTGCTGGGCAACGGCTGAGTTATGGAACCAACTGCTTCACCCTTGGGACCCTTGAAATACACAAAACAAACAACAGCATCAGATATTTTAATTCAGTTTTACAGTTTATAATTCAATGTAATAACAAGCTGACACACTGCAGGGCTATTTACTGTCACTCAGCAACATCTAATGAAGACATGAATGGAAAGATGGACAGCCCTCTTTTACTGGATTTCTTCTTCAACGACTTCATTCTAAGTACAGCTCCCAATTCAACCCCGCTTTAACAAGAACGGTCTTTGGGATTCAAATATTTTTTTGTTTTTTTCTTTTTCCTTTTTCTTTTTGTAAATCAGACTTGGCATAGTAACATGGAAATGCTCTGCTGATGCTAATTATAGCAAGATGATAAAAGCATCAAAAGGAACACCACAGGGGAGCCACCCTCACTGTCCGGGGATTCCTGCAGATGGGTGTGAATAGATCACAAGGGACAAGCTTTTCCTCTTTAGCTCAGGATTTCAGCTGAAGAGGTAAGATTGAAAGAAAGCAAAACAAAAGACATGACTGTGGGGTGGTTTAGGAGAGTTGATTTACAACAGATACAGCCTAGTAGAAGACCCCATGTTTGTACAGCAACTGTCTGTTCCCCCTCTGGTCCCATTTGTTCTAGATGAGAGCAAAGGTTCCTCTCAGTTCCTACAAGGATGCTATGGTTCATAGCACAGAGAGACAGGAGGGCAAGCCGAACCCTTGCAGAGAATGGGAGGCCTTCTTCAGTGATCCACTTCATGCTTATTTTGCATGGCACTGTATTTGGTGTCTCAGCAGCACCCTATGCTCCAGAACTGCACAATTTTTGTCTGCCTTCAGAAGACAGATGAATCAATCAATATTTAAATAAAAGGGAAATAACTCCACCCACCCAAAACTATGTATTGCTATAGAAACCCACTCATCCTTTCTCCCTCTCTCCTTACTGTGCAACTTCTCTACCTACCCAGTAGTCAATTCCACAAAATATTTAGGTGCCTAACTGTAGGCTTGGCATTTAAATAAGAAAAAACCCAAGATGATGCCCAGGTCCATAAAAGACATTTAGATGCTTAAGTCTCTCTATAAAGGGTATCAGCAGGACACCATGACATTATGCTCAACCAAAAGACACACAGAGGATGTCACATGCCAAAGTTTAATTTTCACTATGAAGTTCTTCACATTCCAAATTAAAAAAAAAAAATCCAAAAGACCTTTAAATTTCTGTCAAGCTTCAATTTGGAATAAAATGCTAAGCAACCATTTTAAAGCCGTTGCAAAAAAACTGTACCTTTGATAACTTCAAGACAACTGATATGCAAAGAGGGCTGTATTAAACATACTTGAAGCTATTGTTGAAAGCTGGGTTAAGCCTGCCTAACTGATGAGTTAACACATTTTGATCTTGACTGATTTCCCCCAGAGAAGCCTAATGAAAACCCAGTACAAGGCTTAGATTGAAAGCCAGCAGAAGTTTTGAGCAAAAGCAGATAAAGGCAGATATTTTAGAAGCAAGCAAATGAAACAGCCAGAACGTTTCTGAGGGTGAGAGGCGGGTAACGAGGAGTCTTGGTGGCACTGAAATACCAATACAGGCAACCTAGTGCTGGTGTAAATGATGTTCAGAAACTCCCGAGTAGTCAGTATGGAGTTACAGCAATGTGGGTGTTAGAAACAAGATTCCAAACCTCAGTTGCTCTCCATGCGAGTGGGAAGGTGCACCTACAAGAAGTCTTTGGTGAAGCGGCACTACAGGGATTAGGATTGTCGGGTAAGGAGAACCAGGAGGGACAACCCCATGCACGAGCACTCCTCACCCCGAGGGCAGGCAGGGAAGGGGTCTCGCTCTCACCAGCCCCCTGGGGAGGGGAGAGCACGGTGGTGCAGGGCAGCACCAGCAGGGTGGGAGAGGTGCTGGGAGCCTGCCCAGAGGGGACTGTGGCACCGTGGGTGCACCAGTGCCATGAAAAGGCCCCAACCGTCACAAGTCCTCAAAACTCTCAGGTCACAGGGCATGGATTAAGGGTGGAACTCTGTCTGTAAGATCTCCCCTTCAGGGTTATCTGCACTGTGGGCATGCAAGGGTACACTACTGCCTCTGTATCTAACTACTATAATTTAGACATGGCGTGGTTTTCGTGTTAGGGGTTTTTTATTTGATGCATGAAAGCTATACTCCCTTAGGTGATTTGACAATACATTGATTAAAACCGAATGAAGGTTGACTTATTTTAGTATAACTGCCTGTAGATCTTGATTTCCTCTGATTGTGGTTCCAAAAGCACTGGACTTTTTTTTTTATATCACCCACTATGGTTTCAAAATTAATTTTCAGTATGTTAGCATTCTGCACAAGAGACATTAGTTTCCACGTGTAAGGTGACTTTATTTGAACTGTCTCTGTTCCTGACAGCACGATGGTAAAACTACTTCAATACAAGGTAATAGGTAAACTAGTAATTCCACTAGATTAAGAAAATGTTGAAATTTAATTCTTACAGGATATTCATGCCAATAAAACTTGAATGGCACAAACATTCAGAGAAAGCAATAAAAACTGATAAGCAGTCACACTTGACTAAATTTGCTCATGAAAAATTATTTGCAGTAACTTTTCTAATTATTAATTTTAGAAAACTGAAATGGCATCAGGACTGGGCACACAAGGAAGACAGAACAAGGTACAGTGAGTGCATCAGCTACCTCTGAGTGCAGGAGGAACATCAAAGACCGCAGCAACAGGCTTAAGGGAGCGTGTGAAGTGACTGGCCACAAACTACTGCAGGAGAGAATTTGCAGTCTGCCAGAAGGACACACTATGGGAAGTGTGTTCAAGTGGGAAAATCTCCTGCAGTACTTACACCTGTGTAAATGCTTCTTGCAATGTCACCTTCCTGCACTGACTGCAAACAAGGCTCATTTTGCCTTAGACTTCAGGCTTTTTCTGGTCAATCTACTCTGTAAATCAGTCAATTGCTATTACGCTTACGAAAGTTTGCCTCATGATAATAAATCTGTAACTAGGACATCATAATTGAAGAGGTAAACTAGGCAGAAAAAGGCTTCAAACTCCAAGGCCTTTCACCTAATTAAATCCAGTAATTCTCAACTGCAAATAGCCATACCAAAATGAACAAACGCCACTCCAGCTCTCAGCACATTTAGAATGGACAATATCAACTTGTTCAGGTTCAAAATTTGACCTACCTTAAAAAAGTAAAAATCTGGTAGGGCATGTCCTCTAAATTCTAAATATCTAGTTAAAAAAACAAACAAATCCATTTCTCATTGCCAAGCAATAAAGAAATATAAGACTGATTTGTGATCTTCCGCAGACAGGCCACCACTTTGCAATGTATGTATACATGATCATAAATTAAAGCACATTAACCCCAAACCCTATAGTTTTGAAAAAGGGTATGAAGTTTGTGTTCTGTTAATGTGAGATTATCACTAATTAGTGAAAAGTCCTAAGCAATATTAAAATAAAATCATTCAAAAGCAACTACAAAAGATTCAATCTAAGCTTGGTAAATTTAGATAACATTGATAGTGATAACAATTCAGAAAGACCACAAACAAACATCAGGAATTATACTAGCTGAGTGACTTCCCAGTCTGAGATAAGGAAGACAAAATCAATGCAGCATATTGTACATGTGACAGTACACTTTTGTCAATGTAAGATTCAAAAGATACAATCTCACAATTAGTAGCTATCCTAAAACGTATGTTGCAGAAGGCATAACTAATTTATTATGACAAAGGGGTCTAATATTGTAATTTCATTTAAAGCAAGAGGTCATTTCAGAAGGTAAATATGTTCACTTGTGCTGTGATTCCACACCCTGTCTCCATATGTAAACACAAAACAAGGACTACAATAGTTTATTTACTAGAGTATAAACAATGAGTAATAGTAAACATGAAAGATTCCTAAGAAATTGAAATAAACCTTTGCTGTGCAGAACACATTGTGCTTTTAAACACAGAGAAGAGCTGCTCACAATATTATGCCATGTATGACAAAGCAAACAGACATCAGAACTAAAGAAAAACATTTATCATCTTAAAATTGTAGCCAAAAAAGAACAGAATTGGCTAACAAGCTGCAATATAAGCTATTTTGCACAAGGAAGTAATTTGAATTTCTACTCTTACAAGCAAATTGAACTAGGCTGACATTTTATTACATGAACATAGGGTTGGAAGCCAAGAAACGTTTGTAACAAGTATCAACTCTTTCATTTTGGCAAATCACTTGCCTCCTTAATTTGTCAGATTTGACTGACGTAAGATACAGCATTATACACTCATTCCTTCTGCTTACATGATTGCCAGTGACGGCATTAACCTCTTCAATGGCATCCCTCTGCACACCACACCCCTGAAACTATTTAGGTATACAGATGTTGAAGGCTTATATTCAGAATAAACAAACCATTAAAGTTATAACAGAAAACACAGTTCAGCTTCTCATTAAGGTTATCTTTACTCGTAGCTGGCTAATGCTAGTCATCCATTAAGAATTATATATGCTACCACTAACCTTTATAGCCCATATGGACTGCTCCAAAGGATGAAAAAGTTTGAAACAAAAGCCATCTTTTTTAGAAGGCCTCTCAATGAGTTCACAAGCGTTCAGGAGCACTGTTCCTACCCATTGGCCGTTTTTGGGGGTTTTGTAAACAAGCAACACTCCTGGTTTCAGTACACACCACAGTTTGGTCCAGCTTTTCAAAGTACCACGAATCTAGAAGATAAACAGTTACAGGTATATCTCAGTGAACCCAATAGGAAAACCATGCCCCTTAAACAAATGAAAACTGAATATTATTATTTCATTTCAAGCAAATATTATCAAGTCAAAATATTGATATACCTGGATAAACTTTTGATAAAGACAATACAAAGGTACAATCTCAGTGCTCCTTATTCTCTTCTATCTTTATCAATACTTATTCTACAAAGGGGTAATGCATGCATCCAGATACGCAAGTATGACAATTCATCTGAAACCTTAATGAATTTTCCTATCTGGAATATATTTTATCACCAGCATGAAGACAGGATAATTTTCAGAAACAGAGCTCCTCTGAAAACAGGGCAGATATCTGATAAGAAAAATAGGATATTTACAAAGTAACTCGCACATTTGAATTTCTTAGATAAAATATCTTGTAACAGCTGTCACCTTTAACCCATATGTTACAAAGAAGATCATTTAAGGTCCATGATTTTGCACATCTGATTAGACTGCTTGCATCAATTTTGTCAACTCTAGATTTTAATTACTTCTGTGTCTGTAGGACTGAATTCCAACTTGACCTCTGAGAAACATTTTAGTGTCTTTACACTGATTTTTGCAAAAACTGGAGAAACCTTTTCCAGACAAGCTATTGTTTGGAGCCAACTATAAAAATGGGAAACAGAGCTTTTTTTCTTGTACAATTTTCAAAGCATATATTGAAAAGTTTAAGGAATTATATAGATATGTAAACTGCACTGCTGTTGATGACACTGACTGCTATCTTTGAGAAATTAATTCCTCACCTTTTGTACCTTCTCAGTATTAGAGAACAGTTAGTTCTTAAGTGAGGAAAGGAAAATGACCAGAAATACATAAAGAAATCTGCATTCAAATATCTAATACGACTGAGCTATTTCCACTATTGTTATGGACATAACAGAGCTTCAATTCAAACTGTAATATCGAAAGCATAAAATAAGAATCATAAGGCAAATTCAGCTGAAGTTAATGTCTATATACACAAGATGCATGTGACTATGGTGACTGCAGTAAGTCAAGAGCTAAGTTCCTCTATTATTCCCTTAGGATTTGAGCACAGAGATCCTGGGATGCAGTTAGTGGCTGCTGTATTTGTAGAAAAACATTAACAACAAGTAAAAGATTGAGCCTTTTCTATTTTGGTCAGAAGGCAGCAAGCAGCTGCTACATCTTCAGCTCGGGTTTCACACTTGGATTCTGACCTTCAACCAGTCAGCCATAACAATAACTGATGGGTCTGTGATAGTGCTAAGTAATTCTTTTGTAGCTCTCTTCTTTTCTTCTCTGTAATTTTTCTTTTGAACCTGTAAATAATAATAAAAATATTTATTATGCTACAACCATAAATCAGTAATCAGAACACAAAAAGACATCTATCAATACAAGCAGAGAAAAAACAGGCTAAATTCAACTTGCAAGACAGATACAGAGAAGTAGCTTTAAAACAGTATTTCACTTCAAGGCATGGACACCTATTTCATATGCTCTGTTTCAAGAGCAGCTACAATGTAACCAAGTTCAGATCCTTCCGCAATTTGCTTTTAAGACTGAAGACTTTGAAACTCCTGTTAGAATCACAGCGGGAAACCAACAAACCAACCCAAGCCCCCCCTCTTCCTCTCCCTTCTTTTCCTGGTGTAAAGTACAAAACCACATTGGGGCTAGATTCAGATTTACTGGTATATTATCAGATCAGTAGTCCTTACCCACCAATTACTTTCCCTCCTCAGTAGAAATCTGCAGCAATGTATCTGTCTCCCTCTTTTAGAGGCAAATAATTTTGCATTTCTGCTGGCATGATATCTGCCAAACAGCAGAGTTTGGTCCCGTTACAACACAGGGGGAAGAAGGCAGCAGAAAAACCACAGATACTGCATGCAAGTTGTAATTAAAATTTGTCATTTCATTGTATGCGATGTCCTGGGGTCCCTGCGAACCTGAATTACCCTATACTCTTCTGAGTTACCCTATAATCTTGGGCCATCTCAAAGATTGCATTAGAGAAGCCCATACTCAAGTAACAATAAGATTTGAAGAGAATCAACTTTTCATGATACTTAAATATCCCATAGGTCTCATCAGTACTTGGCATTTTTGTCCTCTCATTAGAGAGGACGGTAAAACGATGTGAATGCATTTATAGTCCGTGAGGAGTTACTTGGAATTTAATTCACCTTGAGAGATTCTTTTTTTGTAAGTTTGCTTGAAGATAAAGAGATGTCCTTCTCAGAGCCATTAAAAAGCTTGGATTCAGACTGAAATTCACAAAATGCATAATAAATAAATGACAATGTCAGATACAAGGATATATTACTGTTGCAGGCACTTTAGAAACTGTTTGAAGTTCCCGTTCCCATTCACTTCTCTACTGTTTGGCCCACTTAAAAAAACCCTCAAAACCAAAACCAACAAACCACAACTTGTATCATGAGCTGTTCACTACCTATTCATGGAGTCTTTTTTTTTTATAAGGGCTTTATGTGAAATAATTCTGAGATTCCTCCAGAAGCAGCTGGAGGAATAAATATTTATTTAATTAAATATTTAGCCCATGTAGCCAGCTACTTGATATGTCAGTCTTGACTAGTTACGCAGTATTTTAACAGAGAGAGAAGGTTTTAGGAAAATCCTGGTGCTTAAACACAGGAGTCACTCCCATGACATAGGGATCCCAACATCTTCATTCCCAACTTGACAGCTCCTCTGAATGGATTGCTATAGATGCACTTACCCCATGACCCATGAAGGAAAATAAAGCCTCTTCAATCTAGGATTCAGCGCTCTATAAATCAGCAGAGTACAACAAGCCACTAACTGCACTCATTCTGCTCCTTCCTCCCTAATTCCATGCTCTGATTACCTTGCAAGTCATCTTTTAGAAGCTCACAGTGGCGATAGACAGGGGGAACAAGACACAGGTTTGCTCACGAAACCCAAGTCCTTATTCATGGGAGAACAATATGCTGCCTCAGCACCACATGATTCCTCCTTCCTGCCTCTCCCTGCATCTTGTAAGGTTCAAAGTTTATTCCTTGGCATGTGTTGTCTACTAGTTGAAAGGGAACTAGAGCCACCAAAGATTCACCTTGGGATACAGAGCTCTTAAAAACCCAAACAAACAAAAAAACCACCCCATTCTATCACAGTTACGTCATTCCTACTTGCAAGCTCAGGAAAACTGAGTAGGTATCTACTATATATAAACTTCAGATAAATTACAAAGAGTTGCATTTCTTTGCGCACTGAAATATAAGCCTGATGAAAAAAAAGTTCCTGCCTAGTCAAAAAAAAACAAACCCAAAAAGACGACAACAAAAAAGAAGAAAAAAAAAAAATAAATCAATGCAACCTTCTAACCTGTGTAGATTCAAGGACAGTTTAAGAAAACTGCTTCTCAAGCTGTTCATCATTTCTGACTAGTCATTTCAAATCTCAGAGTACAATGCAATGTCTACTCATTTTATGTTTTGAAATACTATAAAACAATAGTCAAAAATATGCAAGTTTTGAGTAAACATTGCAATAACAAAGACAGTACACTTGAGCACTCTCTTACTTAACGGATGAGTTGCTCAAACCAAATAAATACAAATTAAAGATTAACTAGTGGAACAAAGCAATTTAACTTTGATCCTACTTTGACATCTTTCATTCAGAACTGAGACTTTATAGGAGTCACTTTATAGGAGTGTCAAAAAAGATATGTGCAATAACTGGCAAAAAGCAATTTTATCCCAAAATCATTTCAATGATAAGTAAGTGTTCACTAACTTTCATATAAACCTTGGAAAAATGAAGGAAACATCTTCGTTTTGTATTAACAACATGTTCTTAACACTCAAAATTTAGCTTTAAGACAAACATACAACTTGAAATTTAATTCCTCTGACCAGAAGTTAAAGGAAATACAGTACTTTAAATGTAATAATAGAAGGGGGAAAAAATGCTTATCACTGTCATGCAAGAAGAGGTAACGAACTCGTAATGCAAGCTATAATGGACCAACTTAAGTAAAACATTCATAAATATTCTAGTTGCTCACCAACAGAAAGCTAATGCAATCTAAAGGTCATGCATATAAATGCCCCAAACCAGTAAGTATCACAGGTTACAAAAACTCATTTTTCTTGGTATCTCAGTTAAAGCTCACTAACGTGACACTGAGTAAAGGTCCCTATTTACCTGCCCAATGGATTACAAGGCAGATCAGTGATTTGGATATTTTCAAGTTAGTAACTTTCTCAGTGTTACATCCACACAAAGTAGATGGCATCAAAATTTAAAAGAAGAAAGCATTTTAAGAGAACTTCTGTAACTCCCAGCAAGGTACATTCGGTACCAGATTCTGGGCAAGTCTCATCACTGCTTTTCCATCCTTACTTAAAAAGAAGGGCTGCTATTTTACCTACACAGCTGTGATAGTTACCATATTCTGTTAGCCTGAAGTTTATTTGTGGGTTATAAAGGAACCACTAGTTTTATCATGCCCTACATATAGTAATAGTAATTGCTAAAATATGGATAAAAGATATGTATTAGGACAAGTAGGGGATATTGGTCACATCTGTGATAGCAGAAAGACACAAAAGTAAAAGCAAACCACACAAAGGTTTAAGAAAGACAAGAACCAAAAATAAATCTAAGGAAGAGAAAAACCGAATCGGATAGTCAAAGATTAATAGAGTCTGAAATAAATCCAAGTTAAGAGACAGTATTAACTTTCTTTTTATTAACAAATACTGTATTATAACAAAAATGTATTAACAAATTAAATATTTCCAAGTCAAAAACGATTTAGAGGTTTCTGGACCAACATAAATATTTTAATCAGGAGCAAGCTGGACAGCAAAGTATGCTTCCTTGGTCTCCCTGAGAAGTGAGGCTCTAGGACGCAGTAAAGCTGAAAGACGCAAAGTTTTGTGACTCCAAGTCAGATGTGAGACACCAAAGGCTTGAAACGCTTAGCTACACACCACACAACTGCAGCATCAGCTGCAGAAACCAAACTGCTCACCCCAGTGCAAGTCTGATGACACCATTTAAGCAGGGAAATGCTACTGTAACCTTTAAGTCACTTTGATTTCCTTCGGTATCTCTTTAATATTTCGCTTTAGGGTCTGACACATGAAATATCATGGAAAATATTGTGTCACCCCCCTGTCTGCTAGGCGTGCAGCTGCCTGTGCCCAGGGCCAGCTCTGACAGAGGGCAGTGCTCACGCTGCAGCAGAGCACCATGGAAAGAGCTGTGCGAGGAAGCGGTGAGGAGCTGGCATCTCCCCCATCTCCCTCGGGAGCGAGCTGGGCTCAAGCTCAGGTCCCTGCCTTCCCCGACAAAGCAGCCCACGCCTGCTGAGCCCTGACAATCTGTTTGAGTGCCTGTTACCACGTTTGCCTCTGAAAAACAGTGGCCATCCTAGCAGAAAATAGAACACTACACAGCTGGGTAATTTAAAGCCTTTAAACTCTATCCTGTAGCGATGCTTAAATAAGAAAAACAAGAGGACTTAGCTACTCCATTCAGTGATTAAACCACACACCACCTCTCCCTCTGCAAAATGCGGTCTTTCTCTCTTCTCCTTAATCTTTAACGTCTTGAAGAGAAAGTGAGACCTGTTTTATGAGACACCCAATTGAGTACATTTTTCCCTGGAATTCTCCATTCTAAATACATCAAAATCACTAGATAAAAATTCAGTGCATTGCTGTGCCAGGCACCTTTACTGACCAAAATGTTCACGCACTTTAAGAGTTACAATAGGCCTACAAATAAAGGCGACTGCATCAGAGTGGCCTATACCATGTCCTGAATCTGAGGGCTCCTATAACTGTAACCTATAAATTTAAAAGGACTTGGGAAAGGAAAGAATAGCTATGGTAGATTTTTCTGTCCTACTACAATGACATTCTACACAAATCTCTCATCTTGTGCATACCATCAGAAAAGAACATTTTATTCTGAATAAGAATGCTGTTGCAAATTATTTGTGTAAATAATTCTGATTAGAACAAAACATAGCTCTGGAGAGAAAGGACCTGGGATCACTACATAAAAAGTGTCTTTTTGGTTTGGGTAGTTCATGTTTTTTTCCTTTTTAAAGTTTGCCATCCCAAGATTCTGTGGCTTCGGTGACGGCAGTGTTCATCTCCCAGGCCCACTTTGGATGTTCTCAGTTTTCATGGCATCTCAGTGAGCCTTTTCCATCATGGGACTATACTATGATGATTAGGAATTTGCCTGGCTTCTGCCTTCTCCATTTCTATTATAAAGACTACCAGAAAGCATAAACATGCATAGCAATTATATCTAGATTAATATTCTAATGAGCATGCTTTCCTTTGCACTCTCATCACCTCAATGAAATGGGCCTTTATACTTGAATTCTGGGTACAGAAGTCTTTGCAAGAGACAGGACAACAGATTACACTTAACTCTGTTTTACTCTGGCAATTTAAGCCATTAAACTTAATTAAATTTTCTAATTGCAGTGGTTTTTTTTTTAATGTTCTTTTTTGATGATTTGCTACAGCTCAATGAATTTACAGCTTAAAAGGATTTTAAATTCTGTTCAATAGCAACAGTTGTCCCCCATCCATCATTACATATGGTGAGGCAATTTCTGCCCCAAGATGACAGTGAGAAGACTCCATGTTTCATTTTTATCAATTTGAACAGTAGATTTTCATGTGATGTCATCCTAAGAACTACATTAAGAAATTCCTTTCAATCTTTATCTATTGCTGAATCTGAAGAGTAATCTTCAAGATTATCTACAAAAGTTAAATACATTTGCATTTAATTAAAAATGCACAATTCCTTCACACACTGGCATTTTCAAGACGGATTAGGAGGCAGCTTTTCTTACCTTGCTTTTTGACATAGAATGGGCTGTATCCTCTTTGCTTTGTGACACATCGTCCTTCCCTTTGTCAAAACCTTAAAGAAGAGAGAGCATCGTTGCAAATGATTTGAAGACATTAACATTTTATACAAGCAAGTCTTTGGAATAAATTTACAAACTATGTTTAGCAGAAAAAAATGCAAGTAAATTGGATTTTCAATCAATGTATACATACCAGTTGCAAACATACCAGCTACTACAATATAAACTAATTTAATACCTACTAAGAGACGAGAACAGTCCACTGTATTTGGATGGTGCTGTACCTGATCCAATATCCTGACACATAAATATGGTGTGTAAACTTTTGTCCTTTTATCTTCTCATTCTCTCCTATCTGCATACATGCATGCACAGAGCAGAATCCTAAATAAAGTCTTTCTTTTTGGTTTGTTAATTTCTGTAGCTAGAGATAATTGTTAAATACCACTTACATGAAAGCAAATCTAAAACACTAATTAAGATTGCCAGTAAGTTTTTTGCAAGAAAATGGAAAAGGTTGCTTATATTAGCCTTGAATTTATACTTTCAACTTGATACTGCACAAGCATAATTGCAAGGCTTTATATTAAGACAGCCAGCAAAATTCCACATTTCTCTTCTGAGTGACACACAGGACAAGCCCCACACTTTCCCACTATTCAGAAAGCCAAGTGAGACAATGGTTGTAGCCAGTATGTGCGTGACAACAGCAAGAGGGGTCACAACTGGCAACAGCACTGCTGCACAGCTGCTATGTGCTGCAGAACATACAGCGAGAACCTCGCATCCTCTTAAGGAAAAATAATCTACTCTGGTTATGAAACAGGACATCCCAGTGAGCCATTTTCTTTGAAGAGGTTGGTGGTTGCTTAAAGCTTTTACAAACAGGAATAAAAAAATATAAATCTTTATCTAAGTAAAAATGCCATCATTTTCATGCCCTAAAGATAGAAGGCAGATAAATATGAAGTCATACATGAATTTCAGGAATAATGCAGGCAGCTGAGAAGCCTTCATGGCTCTGACAGGGGTGCCTTAAAGCTTCAGCCCACCAGAGGGCACTACCTCAGCAGACAAATTGCATAACCGGAGAGCAAAAGCTCTTCAGAGCTTCCCTTTGAACATGTTTCTAATTTTGAAACAGAAATTGGTACTCAGATCTCCACAATGAGAAATTTTATCAGAGAAACAGTTTGATTTCACATTCTTCAGCAGAGTTTGTGGGGGCACTTTATGAACTTTAAAAGATTTTTTTTTTATTAACTCTCTCTAGCAGTGTTGAGTAGTTTGTTCAGTGTAGGATGATTTTTTTTTTTAAAGTAGTATCTTCACCCTTCCACAGTTTACAATACCTAGAAACTCTTAGAGAGGACTGATTAATCTATGACAAACAGATGAGAAGCTTCCCATCTGTTTGTCATGGTTCCCAACATGTTGGGAAGTTTCACTAAATTACAGAGGCAATAGGTTGGTTTTCAGGTTACATGAGAAATTTGAGATTCCTCTTAATCTTGGTCAAGAGGAGTCTTTTGGGCCTTTTTGTTTATATTTAGCACATTTTTCAGGGACTCTTTTTTTAAGACCAGATTTTTTAAAATTATACTGCAATACAGTGGTATTTCATTTTATGTTTACACAAAGTAAACTCTACATGTCTTCAAAGAAACCTTTACATGTCTTTATAGAAGCCCCTCCGTGCACAGTTCATTAAACCCTTCCTCTTGAAATTCTTCCAACACATCTGTTATCAGTTTGTTCAACTAATGGAAAGCTATAATACAGAAGACTACCTGACCACAGGGATGGACAGAACATTTGTAGTACCAGGGAATCCAGAAAAAAAACCACAAAAAGGCATGTCACCATCCAGAGGCCAGAAGACACATTTCCTATGTAATACCAAACACAAAAGCACATTTCCTACAGCACCCGTTGTCAGGTGCTGAAACAAAACAAAGATTGCTTCAAGCCTCAGAGGACAGACCTGCCTTCTTCCCTAAGAAGTTATTGGATTCGATGCCAGTCTTAGGCACTCAAACACACATCAGAATCATAGTAATGAGGTTTCTTCCTCACTCCCATACCCAAAAGAAATGACTCGTTAGGAACCAAGTTCCACTGAAAATGTAATGCAGGCATTTTCTAATGGCTTTCCTGTTTTTACTTATTCTTATAGGCACATACAGAAGGGATGGGAATTAACAAGGAAGTGCCAAGTCAGGATTGTTCTTACAGAAGAGAACCTGTAATTCACTTGTTTTCTAACACACACATCCTTATCTCACAAACATATGCTTTTATTTTCATAAACAAGCTTTTTATTGCCACCACCAAGCAGAAAGGAAAACAGAACAAACTACTCTGTCCCAGAGAATCAGACATGAAGGCCAAAGTTCAGGTGGGTTTCCCTGAATTCCACCAACTTGCTTCCAGTGTCTCAAGGCGGCGAGGTGTGCATGCTTGCTGATTTATAAACACACCACCACACTCACTGTTGCCTTGCTTTCTCACACGCCCAGCAAAGGGTTGTCCCAAGGGGTGGCTACTGAACCCATGTCAGGGTGCTGTAGATCCTGGAACACCTTGCACTGTTCCACCTTGGACTGTGAGGAAACCCAACCAGTCAGCTTTACATCCCACACCATCTTACTTGTAACCTCTGTCTCTGTAGAAGAGATAGGCTCACCCAGAATACAGACAGAAAGCTTTTCTCCCCATGTGCTGAAACGTATGTTAAAAAAATAAATCATAATTCAGGTGCTAGTCCAGACACAACCTCACCCACTGTAAGGATGCGTTTTCCAGGGAGCCTCTATTATGATGGAGAGACCTCAAATACCATAAGCAGTCTTACTTCTTCTAACAAGAATAGTTTGTTACTAATACCTGCAGGGAAATTTGTACTGAAACATCACAAGAAGCTATATACGGGCCTAAGCTGAGGACACTTTACCATGAAAATACTTGATCAAGGAAACAACAACAGAGCAATTATATTCATGAAATCAACACTAAGAAATACTGGTTTATCCCTTCCTGCTACCAGTTAAGAAAAACAAATTTCTCTATGGACATCTGACAAAGACAACAGCAAAGCCAAGAAAGCTGCGCCTCTAAGTGATGCTTTGTGTTATTGCTCTTTTTGTAGTTTTGTTCACCCCAGAGCTACTGAAAATTGCACCACAAAAAGTCATTGAATCAGTGTCTGGAGCAGAAAGTGCCAGGGTATGAGAGACTAGAGGCAGGATCTAATAAAAAGAACGTGTTTCAAGTTTTTCAGCAGTGGTTTGGGACTTAATATTTTAGTTTACTTATTGTTTCCCATCCTGTAATTCAATCAGGAACTCTATAACAAGATAACCTGAGCTCACATTTCAGGTGTTGAAGATGCAGTCCCTTTCTGTAACTTCCTCTCTGTTAAATCTCTTGAATTTGCACATTATTTTCTACCTAAAATCCTAAAAGCAATCTTCAGAGCTAGGAGGCAGCGAGCAAGTACCATTTGAATCAACCTTCAGAGTTGCAGACTGAGCTCCCAGTAACGTTTAAGACACTTGCAGTTTAAAAAAAAATAAAATAAAATAATTTTAGACACAAGATCCACTACTGTAGCCTCTAAAGCAGTTCTGGGCATCAGGGATTATGTTCAGAGCAACACTGCCTCTTAACAGACTTTCTCCCAGTGTGACCTTCCTTGTCTTACCATCACAGGCCCCATGGGCTCTGAAAGCTGATCCCAAGCCCAGCAGTCAGCCACAAGTTCATGGTGTGACCTTAGAAGCCAAGGGAAACTGTCCATTAGTACATTCCTACTGAGAGCACTCAGAACTCCTTCCAAAACTTGCAGGCAGAAATCTACGTGAAAACTCATGATGGGCTTTCAAGACAGATGCAAGAGCCTGACATCTGCATGCAACTGAAACCACCAGAACTATACACACGCAAGGTGTCAATGAAACAAAACCAAATACATTTCTTCAGAGACTGAGCTGGAATATGCAGTCAATACCAAAAGAAAAAAAAAAAATCCTCCAAAACACCGCTGGATGATTTGACAAAAAATGAGGAGTATATATATTGCAAGATTAGCGTAAAAGAATTTTCAGGTTAATGTCTGTGGCAGGGTACATTTTAAAACAAAACTGTTCAGTTACAGAGATTTCAATTTTGTAGCATAACACAGGTTTCATTCTTTATAAGTCACATCTGCAACCTGTCCCTTCAATCTTGAGGGAAGGGAAAAACCAAAACTACATAACAACGCCTACATCTCAAATACTGGTTTTGTACCTCTCAAAAAATACCATCTGTAATTAGGACACCTGAGAAAAATAAATCAGAAAAAACATGTTACCTTACAATGACAGATCTATTTTATCCAAAAAGAAAGAATTACTATCCACTGGAGCCTTTTTTCCCAATAAACAGAAGAATCAGTAAAAAAGCAATGCATGAAAAGATCACAAATAGCAAGCCAAGCAACACTATTACTGACTTCCAAAAGAAAAGCAAGGAACAGGCTGATATGATTACTGGTGTGCACCTGCAGTTGTGAAAAACAAATAATTGAGCTGAAAAACTATATGCTTCTGGAAGAACTATGAGCTGTACCTAGTGGGCGATTTCAATACTGGTGTTATATAATAAACACAGCAGAAAAAAAGGGAGAAATCTTTTAAAAGAATTGAACACAGTAGCCTTTTTAACCGACTGATTTTCAAAAGCTTGCTGACAACCAGTTTTAAGAATACAATCCCATATTAATTAATTCAGATTCCTCCATGGATTTTGAAACTGAAGTAATCAAAAAAGCAAGCAAAGTCCAAAGTATTTTCCCATGGTCATTTTTTCTTTTGCAAACACCATATAAAATAAACAATAATAACCAAAAATTGTCCTCACTAACTATACATGAGTATCTTTTAGACAGGCAATAACTACTCCTTCGTTAAGCCAAATGGAAAGAGCATTCCATCCAGCATGTTAATATTGTTTAAATTCTTCAGATATACAGAAGATTCCAAAAGATAAAACATTTCTTAAATATATATTT